TCACAGGTGGTGTCTGCCCGCTGGCGGCTCCATCCGGCTCCAGGGGCTGCCTGGCGTCTTGCTCTCCACCCAGGCTCTCTGCCGATGTGCTACCAGGGTCCCTGCCCAGCGCTTTTCCCTGTTCCTCTTCTGCAAAGGGCAAGGCAGAAAGGTAGTGAGACAACGGCACCGGGGAGCCAGCCAGACCACCGGGTCGAGGGCACTGGCATCGCCCACCAGTGCTGCAGATCCTGCCTGCGGTGGGCAGAGCTGGGCGGGGGGCGACACCAGCACCAAGGTGCACAGGGAGACGGAAATGGCCCTGAGCCTGTGTGACGGTGTCCCCTCTGAACCGGCCCGGGTTGGGCCCCTGCCAAGCCCAGCCCCGGCACAGGCTTCCCTGTGGCAGGGGCCATGCTCAGCCCCCCACCGCTGCGCCTGGCCTTCTCTCTCTCCGGCCACCAGCACCTTTCTCCAGCTCTTTGCACTTATAAACCACGGTCCGGCACCAACCCTGCACGCTGGCCCCCGGCCGAGGGAGGGACAGATGGATGTCCCCAGACTTGTGCACAGCCCTACACCAAGACACCAGTGCCCTGGCCATGGGTGCTCCCTCCGCAGAAGGGACGGGGGACAGCTGGGGTGAGCCAGGCACCCACGGGTGCCTCTGCCCTCTCCTTACAATCCCGGCACCTCCATCCCTGCGGCTCCTCTCTGCACCCCATCCCTGGCACTGCCACAAGTGGCTGCTCAACCTACCAGTGCGGGACGGCTCGTGCCTGGCCACCGTGCACTGCCCAACTGTCCCTGTCACCCCATCCTCCTCTGTGAGGGACGGGCTCCCCGGTTTGGCACCACAGCTAAGCGGGACGCCTGCCTCGGGGACGGCCGGGGCCGTTGGGAAAGGGGTGGCAGAGGTTGGGTGACCTGAGGACACGGAGGTATCTAGCAGGGGGTGCCAGGCCCCTGGCCCCGGTGCGTCTTCGGGGGACGGGCTCGGCTTTTCCACCTCAGCGTCCTTAAAGAAAGGGACGGCGTATATAGCCCCTCGCGACTCAATCTCCACTTGCGCTTTGGGCAGCTGCAGCTCCTCCAGCTTTTCTGCCACTGTAACAATCTCCTGGAGGCCCTCGGGCTCTCTGGCTTGGTATTTTCCTGCAAAAGAGTTTGTCCCTTCTGTGGGCAGAAAGAAAGTGGGATATTACTGCCCTGTCCTGGCCCCGCGGCAGGCAGAGATGCCCTCGCCCCGGTGCAGGGCTGGAGCCCTGGGGACAGCCTGGCACCCCAGTGGGGACCCAGCTCTCCTCAACCTCCCCTTTCCCCTCTACACAGGGTCAGTGTAGGGCAGGATCAGGCCACTTCCCAGGCGCTGCTGGAGCCGGCAGAGCCAGCAGAGCCAACAGCCCCGGCGGGAGCTGTGGGGCTCAGCAGCACTCAGCGAGGCCAAATCCTGGGCCCTGTTTCCCGGAGGCGAGGCTGAGTTGGCCCCAGAGCCATGCTCCAGCCTGGATCCCCCCCAGCAACCGCCCGGCCAAGGCTCATGGCTTCGGCAGGCGTCCAGGCAGCGCCAAATTTTACACTCACAGCAATTTCTGCTCGTCCCTGCCCTTCCTGACAGTGGCTCTCCCCACTTCCCCTCCTCCTCCCCCTCCAGTGAACCCTAAACCTCGATGCACGCTGGCACCCCCACCCCGGGGGGGGGTCCTTCTCCACACCCCCATCCCCACCCCGAGGAATGCAGATAGGCGTGGGGAGTTAGTGAGTTACAGGTGTCACGGATTCATGGGACGGGTCCATCCTGCCTAACCCATGGGTTTCCCTGCAGGGAGATGGGGAAACTGAGGCACACAGCTGCACAGCATCCAGTTGGTCCAGGGGGAGAGCGTCCCTGTCCCTCAAGCCCCCATGGCCCAAGGCACGGGGCATGCACAGAGATGTGCAAGCGGGAAGGAGGAGCGGAGAGGAGGCTCTTCCTCCCTCCACGCCCATTATCCGTACCAGACTTCATCCTTGCTCATCCCCCCCGGCAGCTTGGCGCCACTGCCCGTGGATCTTGGTTCCTATTCACCGCTGTGAGATATTGCCCTGAACCAACCCTGCAGCCTGGGCCCAGCAGCCCGCAGGGCCCCGGCAATGCCCCCAACCCCGGCCGGCAGCCACTGGGGGATGAACCACACGGCTTACACAGACCAACAGTGCCACACCAGGCATCCCCGTTCTGTCACAATATAGCGGCGTGCAGTATCAGGGACAAGGCAGGGCATCCCTATTCTGTCACGATATAGCAGTGTGCACTACTGAGACCGTGCAGATCATCCCTCCTCTGTCACAACGTGTCGGCATGCAGTATCGGGACCATTCAGGTTATCCCTCCCCTATCATGCTATATCGGCAGGCAACACGGAGACCACCCCTACCCTACCACAGCAGGTTGGTGCGCACAATCGTAGACGGTACAAAACACCCCTGCTCTATCGCGACGCATAGCCCGGAGAGCACGCAGGGATCCCAATGCAATCCCAACCCTGCAGGGCATCCCAGCCCTGCTGCACCCAGCGCTTGGTGCACAGGTGGGCTGGAGCTGGCACCCCAGCACCCACCAGGCACCCGCACTCCTGCGCGGAGACTTCCCAAAACCTCACGCTGGTCCCTGCCGAGGAGCATCGGCGGGCTGGGGAGGTGCCCCTCTTTACCTCGAAAGCAGTACGCATCGTATCTGCTCTGCGCATCGGGGAATCCCGTCTGGTTGCGGAAGAGGAAGATGGTTTTGACACCCGGCAGG